TATGAGTTTTACCTCATAGACAAGTGAGATATATTTAAGTAACTTGCTCAAGTTAATATGATTAACCTCTAATGAAACTTACATAAAACTTCATATGTTCCACTTTTCAGAGCCTAGTTTTTAATTAGTCAAGGCTGGTAATAATCATATAAATAACTGAAAGTATTATGTGATTTGGTAAGTTGAACTGATTGAAACATTTCAGACACTAAAATATCTAGTTTACCCTCAGGATTCCAAACCCCAAATAATTTTAAAATGTCACTGAAGATGTATTTTAAGTCACTTTACATTCTACATGATATCATTCAATTCTCATCATAATCCAAAGATGGAAGGAATCAGAAGTTATTATCACCAGAAACTGACCTCACACAAGTGTCTGGAGCCAAGTCTTTTGATTTCAAATCACTACCTTTAGCCTTATTCAGTGAAAATGGTTTAAATATGAAAGTCTGATATTCGTATGTTTTGAGCAATTCAGTTTAACTTTAGCGATGTTATACAGGTTCCAAAATACAGTCTGGCTAAAATAGAGTTAAATTCCGTTTGTCAGGATTCACTGAGAATTGTCAGCGCTGTCTGTGTCAATGGAGCTTGTGTTAGGGAAAATGAAATTGAACACAGGAGGTGGGTGACATGTTCTATCCATACAGTATCATGGCAGGAATTTGAGATTTTTCCTTTTGGTGACCTCTTAAAAAATGTGTGAACAAAATACATGAGTATACATAATATACATATATATTTAATATATATGTACACATAGAAATAAAAATTACAAAATTATATATAAATACATATACTCATATAAGATAAATATTTAGGTGGATAAATCATTGTTTTAAAAAGGGGTTGATATAGCACGAGTTCCTACTGTGACGATAACAAATTTGTGCCCTACTATTTTCCTCTGGCAGCTAAACAAGGCATCTATATCATGGCATGTAGGAGATAGAGTATGAAATAGAAATTTTTTTAAGTGTGCTGTATCTAAATACAGTCACAAGCACAGACCTGCTTTATTTTTCACGTTCAGTATAAATCAATTTTAAAAATATTTGCAAGTATATGTCTTCCTAAACAATTAGAGTTCACAAAGAATGACGGCAAAGGGGATACCATCATTTAAGTATTTATTATTTGAGTGTGTGGGAGGATGATTTTTTAAAGATATTTAGAATCACGAAGATTTAGAATTTTCCCAAAGGTTATATATTTTATAATTATCTGCTCCTCTCACAAAGCATATAGGGAAGGTGCAGATAATTTAAAAATATATGGCATTTGGGATCACCCTCTTGTGTAGCAAATGTGTACATTGAATTTTAAGCTTTGATATCCTAACTGTTCCCCCTACTCTGTCAAATGTGAATTAAAATTTTTTAATCAAATTTTTTGTAGATTTATATGCAGTTGTAAGAAATAATACAGAGAGCTCTTGTGTACCCTTCACCCAAGAAACAGCTGTAAAGCTATGAAACAACATCACAGTGAGGAAACGGACACTGATACAGTTCAATAGTCTTATTTGGTTTTCATCAGTTTTACCTGTATTTGTTTTTGTGTTCCTATGTGTAAGTGTGTGTGTATATATGTTTACTTCTAGACAATGTTATTACATGCGTAGATTCATGTATCCATCACTTCAATCAAGAGACAAAACAGTTCCAGAACCACAAGGATCCCTTCTTCCTCTCAGAGCCACACCCATGTCCCGCTACTCTCCATCACCCCCTGCCATCCCTAGCCCTTGGCAACCAAACTCTGTTCTCTACCTCTATAATTTTGTTATCTCAAAACATCATATAAATGAATTCCATCTTTATTTATAGAGTTTTTGAGTGTATTCTTTGTATGCCTTTCTTAGTGGCTGCTCTGGGTATTGCAATTAACAGATGTAATTTACACAGTCTACAACATTTAGACTGTGTGGTACAGTTGTGGTACAACTGAAGTGGTAGCAACATTTTACCACTTCAAGTATGGAAACTTTACTTTCCACTAGGTATCTTTGCCCTATCCACTTTTTTTCTTGTCTTGAGTATTCCTTCTCTAATAATGGTGGACATTATCAAAGTTATGCTTTTTGTTTTAATCACGTATTTGAAAAAAACTCAGAAAAAAGGTAATCTATTCTATTTTCTCATATTTTGCTATTATTTTTGTTCCTTCTTCTTGGTGCTTCAATACTTCCTCTTATTACTAATTCTATTATGTTTGAAAAACTTTCATTTTTCTTTAAGACAGTCCTGCTAGAGGCAAATTATCTGTTTTTCTTTATTCTAAGAACATATATATTTCATCTTGATTCCTAAAGGATAGTGTTACTGGTTAAGAAATCATAGTTCACAGCTCTTTTCTTTCAGGAGTTGAAAAACGCACCACTTCCTCTGGCCTCCATGATTTGAAATGGGAAATGTATTGTCATTTGAATTTGTATTCTCTTACAGGTAATAAGCCATTCTCTTGGGCTCCTTTCAAGAAGTTTGTCTAGTTTTCGTCTAGTTTTCACAGTAGAGTTCACTCTCCTGTGAGAAGTGCCCCCATTCATCTGACAGGAGGTGGAGCTCAGGCAATAATGCTCGTTTTCAGAAGTTTCCTTTTGATGTATCTCGACATACGGTTCTTTGGGTTTTTCCTACTTGAGTTTCACTCAGCTTCTTGATTGATTCTGTATCTTCATGACTTTTGCCAAATATGGAATGTTTTCAACCATTATTTCTTTGAATACTCTTTTGGTCCCACTCTCTTCCTTCTTTCCTTCTGGGACACTAATGATACCACTGACAGATATTTGGTATTGTCTCACAGGTCCCTGGGGCTCTGTTCTTTCCTATCTTTTCTTTCTATCTTTCTATTTTCTCTCAGCTGTTCAGATTGGGTGAATTATATTTCTCTGTCTTTAAATTAACGGATTCTATCCTCTGTTATTTTCACTGTGCTATAGAGCAAATCCAATTAGTTTTTATATTGGCTTTTATATTTTTATTTCTATAACATCCATTTTTAATAACATTTTGCATGCTAAGGTTTTATGTTTTTTTCAGTTGTGCCGAGATAATTAGTAATTGCTTATTAAGGTAATTTTATAATGGCTTCTTCAAATTTTTGTCAAAAATTTCAATATTTGATTCATCTCAGTATAGGCATCTGTTGATCATTTTTTCTCATTCAGTTATGATTTTCCTGGTGTTTATTATGACTAGTAAGTTTTTAAAATTATTATATGCTGAGCATTTTGGTTATTATGTTAAGAGACTCTGGATGCTAATTAAATTTATTCTCAGAAGCAGTTGCTAGTCCTAGCTTTCAATTATGGGCTATGGTTCTAATGAGAATTTAATTTTTAGGGACTTTGTGCTGCTATTTGGACACGTTGATTTATCTAATTCTACTGGGGACCACACTGATCTCTTCTGGACCACCTAAGGGACAAGAGGAGATTCCCCAGGCTAAGCTGTAGTGGTCTAGGGGAGGTAAAATATGCTCTAGCTCAGCAGTCCCCAACATTTTTGCCACCAGGAACCGGTTTTGTGGAAGACAATTTTTCCATGGATGGTGGGCGGTGTGTGTGGGGGATGGTTTTAGTTAGATTCTCACAAGGAGCACGCAACTTAGATGCCTCATATGCAGAGTTCACAACAGGGTTCACTCTCCTATGAGAAGTGCCCTTGCTGATGTGACAGGAGGCAGAGCTCAAGCAGTCATGCTGGCTAGCTCATGACTCACCCCCTGCTGGGTGACCTGGTTCCTAACAGGCTGCAAACTGGAACTGGCCCATGGCCTAGGGGTTGCGTACCCCTGCTCTAGCTAATGAAAAGAGGATTACTTCCAGGGCTCTGTACTTGTTGTAGAGACATCCCGTCCCTGTGTATACCCTCCTGCCTCACTTTCCACACACACTACTAGAGCTGCTTATCTGTTCAGTACCTCCAGATGGCAAGGGGAAGTCTTAGGCACCTTGGAAAAACAGGTCACTTTCCCTAGCTGTTTGCTGTTAGTAAGGCTCCTACTTCATTCCCCTTGCAGGTAACCCAGTCTCTCCTGATATTGGTGGATGGATTCTCATTTGACCAGCAATAAAAAATGAGTCTACCTAGACTAACTTCTGTTTCTAGGTTGTGGTTGGGAGAAGCTGGGTCTGGATCATCTTTTACTGTTGTTTGGGAAGCTGGGATTTTCCTTGGGTGCTGGTGTCTTTAACTGGTCCTCCTCACTCTTTCTACCATTTAGAGTATACTTTTTTTTTTGCCGCTTGCTTCATTCCAGATTTTACAGCTCTACTTAGTGGAGCACATAATGATAAACTTTTTAATGCTTTTTTTCTCCCCCAAAATGAGTCAAGCGAAGCGTAATTCAGCAAGATGCTAAAATATCTTCTGTGAAAATGAGTGTCTTGTGATAGAAAAGGTGATTCAGACGAAAGACTACATTAACATACAGTACAGCAGAGGCACCAACCAATCAGAGCAAATTTAAAAGTCAGATAGTTTACAGGTGCCTTTGTGCTCAGTATCAGCTCAAGTTTAAATAGTTCAAGTGCCTCTACTGCAGAGAGCTTTTAATATGCTAATATTTTTGTTGTTGCCTTGGAGGGCCTGCCTCAGTCACAGTTTACCAAATTTATCTGTCCATAGAAGTGAACCCACTTTGTTTACAGTTTTTCTTGGCACTGGTATTCTATGAAAGATTTGCAGAGGAAAGCTATGTTTATCAACATCAGTATCTACCTCATCTAAAGTATTGTATTAGATGTAATCATGTAATTATAAAGTGATTTCTGAAAACATTAAGGAGCACCTAATTCTACTTTGATTTTTAAATATCTGATAAAATATTTTAATGTATTTAAACTTTCTTTTAAACTGTTCCAAGAAGTAAGATTTCAATGTATGGCCAAAGAAAACATTTATTGTATTGTGTTGAAAATATATAGTCTAAAAATACTGACTTTTTCTGATGTTCTTATTTACGTTTTCAATATTTTCTCTTTCCAGCTTTAAGGGACAATAGGATTGAGCTGGTTCGCGCTTCCTGGCATGAATTGAGTATTAGTGTCAGTGATGTGTCTCTCTCTGATGAAGGACAGTACACTTGTTCTTTATTTACGATGCCTGTCAAAACTTCCAAGGCCTATCTCACCGTTCTGGGTAAGTGCAAGGGACTAACACCATGTAATCACACAACCAGAGTGATGTATATTGCTACAGCAACATAATTCAATACAAAAATGTATTTCAAAGACTATATGAACAGATATGGTTTAATCCTTTCTCTGCTATATTTTAACAAAGACATTTTAAAATCATTCAGTTCCTTTCTGCATTTTATAAAGGGACAAAGACAGAGAGATTCAAAAACGTATATGACTGCTAGAAGACACATGGCTATTTTGTTTCTTAGCCAGCAATAGACACCGGTTCTCTTGATTCCAGCTAATTTTTTTTTATCACATAATCTATATGTTGTATATATTCTGATCCTTTTCCAAAATGACACAATACTGAGCATAATGAGTTCACCTTGTATTCTATACTATGCTCCTTTATTTGATCATGTGAGTCACCTGATAAGGGCCTTTCTCGCGAACTTGTGGCTCTCAGATATGACCTGCTTGTGTATTTAGTGCATTTAAATGACCCTGATATTTCCATGTGCCTTCTCTCCTTTTAAAATTCTATTTTCTAGATTCCTAAATGAAGTACCTAATGTCGCTTGAGCTTGCAGCTTGTAGTTTCTTTGTGTTTTTATTCTCTAAATATTGGGCCATTTTCCCAAAGGTGAAAGTGACACAAAGAAAGCAATACATTCATAGAGATGCTGAGGAAATAACGTTGCAGCTCCGAGCTCTCTGTGATTCCACAGACGTCAGTGCCCCAATCAGCTGAAATTGCTGCAGTTCATTGAAACACACCTGTGTACTGAACAAGTTAGAGGAATTTAAAGATTGATTTTTTTTTTCGCCTAAGCTTGCCCTCCTCTTTAGATAGAAAAAGGCACAATGTTGCATTTAAAAGGACTAACACATGCTGTTCTTTTGGGTGGGAATATTAAAGCTAATCCAGCCAGTGAATTGGTTTTGTGCATAGGATATAAAACATATTTCTTTGCAAGTCACACTGGGACTATTTTATAAAAATCTTCACAAGTTTGCCATTAAAGACAAAATATACCCACTAAAATGGAGGATTTCAGGATAACAACTGCATAAGGTTAATGTATTGTTCTGTAGAGAGCCAATTTGAAACTCAAAGAATAGATGACTGATGAATTCAGTTTATTAAACGGTGATGTGGCAGAGATTTTTAAAAAAGAAAGCAAGTAATATGTAGGTGAAGATAAAAAAATGTTAAGAGGAGTTATGTTAATTTTTCATGCATCTTTGTGGTTACTGTGTTACTGTTGTTCAATTTGTATTTCTCATATTGGTGCTTTCCAATATTCCTTTTCTTTCTTTTTTTTTTTTTTTTTTTTTGAGACAGTGTCCAACTCTGTAGCCTGACTGGAGTGCACTGGCGTCATCTCAGCTCACTGCAACCTCCGCCTCCTGCGTTCAAGCGATTCTCCTGCCTCAGCCTTCTGAGTAGTTGGGATCACAGGCGCCCACCACCACCCCGGCTAATTTTTTTTTTTTTTTTTTGGTGTTTTTAGTAGAGATGGAGTTTCACCATGTTGGCCAGGATGGTCTCAATCTCTTGACCTCGGTCTCCCAAAGTGTTGGGATTACAGGCGTGAGCCACCGTGCCTGGCCACAAAATACACAGAGGATAATATTCTTTTTAAGCTTTAAGAACTATGAAATTAGGAAAGAAAGAAGCAAAAGTTAAATTGTAATTTGGTAAGGGATAGAGAAATCTGTTTGTGGGTTTTTTTCTTCAATGCAGTCTACCTTTTAAAATCTCTACACTAGTAAATTGTAAAGTATATTGAATGATTGTTTTTAAGATTTACACACAGGTATTTTCACAGGTAAAATTTTACAACTGAGGCCAGGCACAGTGGCTCAGACCTGTAATCCCAGCACTTTGGGAGGCCGAGGCTGGTGGATCACTTGAGGTCAGGTGTTTGAGACCAGCCTGGCCAACATGATGAAATCCCGTCTCTACTAAAAAGTACAAAAATTAGGCCGGGCACGGTAGCTGACACCTGTAATCCCAGCTCTTTGGGAGGCTGAGGTGGGTGGATCATGAGGTGAGGAGTTCGAGATCAACCTGGTCAACACGGTGAAACCCCATCTCTACTAAACGTACAAAAATTAGCCAGGTGTGGTGGCACCCACCTGTAATCCCAGCTACTTGGGAGGCTGAGGCAGAATTGCTTGAACCTGGTAGGTAGAGGTTGCAGTGAACAGAGATTGCACCACTGCACTCCAGCCTGGGTTCAGAGCAAGACTCTATCTAAAAAAAAAGAAAAAAAATTATTCTGGCATGGTAGCACACACCTGTAATCCCAGCTACTTGGGAGGCTGAGGCAGGAGAATCACTTGAACTCAGGACGCGAAGGTTGCAGTGAGCTAAGATCGAGCCAGTCCACCCCAACCTGGACAACAGCGTGAGACTCTGTCTCCAAAAAAAAAAAAAAAGAAAAGAAAAATTACAATTTAATTTAAAAAACTACTTTGAGCTATATGCGTCTTACATACTTTCTTGATTTTCTTGATACTATGTATGTATGTATCTGTACACATATACATGTGTATGGATATGTATATACATTTATGTGTATGCACATGTATATACATTTGTGTGTATGCATATTGACATATACAACTATGTATGTATACACACACGAAGCAGTTTATTACATAGTAGTTCGTTAACTTGATTGAGAACTTCTTGTCAATTAACCATCCAGTTCAGTTTCATGTGTGAAAGTAATAGACATAATAACAAATCAGCCCTGAAGATTGATGCTCACTTCATCATTTGCTTAAATTTCAGGTGTTCCTGAAAAGCCTCAGATTAGTGGATTCTCATCACCAGTTATGGAGGGTGACTTGATGCAGCTGACTTGCAAAACATCTGGTAGTAAACCTGCAGCTGATATCAGATGGTTCAAAAATGACAAAGAGATTAAAGGTAAAGAATAGAAAAATGAAAATCAAAATTAATGTGCTGAAACCAGTATGACATGTTAGGAAAAAGTCATTTTACATTATTTTTCAAACCATAGTATCTCTTACAGATTACGCATCATTTCAACCAGATTTACTCATTCTTAAGTAAGGTAATTTTACAAGGTATATTAATATATAAGTATACTCCCTGTGTGCCTCATTTTCCTCTTCTGTAAAATAGGTTTAAAAATAATATACACCTTATGGAAAAGTTGAGGGAATAATTCAGTTAATATATGAAGAAACACATAGATTCATATTTCACAATAATAAGCAATTAGCACATATTAGATATTATTTCAGAACTCACATATAATATTTAAGTTAAAGACAGAGAAACTGTATAAATTATTTCTTCAACTTTGTTTTGGGAATTACAGGGTTCTGAGAATAAAACTGGTTAAATATCAATAAATTTGATTCTTGTTAATTCTCATGAAAGGCAAAAATGTGTACTTGTCTAAATAAAAGTACATACTTTAAATTCTTTATACACCTAAATTTAAACTCCCTCTCTCTCTGTCACACACACACACACACACACACACACACACACACACAAATGAAACATACGTTCTTTAGGAGGGGAATAAGTTTATAAGGGTGATGGCTTAGTATTTAAATATAATAATTGTTTATGATGATTATTAAAACATAATTCCTATGCCATTGTAATATGTATTATTTTCAACATTATCTTCTATGAGACAGGTTTATGCAAACCATTCTGCTTATTTTTAAACGTTACTTATCTATTTATTTTTAAGAGATAGGGTCTTGCTCTGTCACCCAAGCTGGAATGCAGTGGAATGATCATAGCTCACTGTACCTCGCACTCCTAGACTCCAGTGATTTTCCCGCCTCAGCCTCCTGAGTAGTTGGGACTACAGGCGTGCATGACCATGCTTGGTTAACTTGTTTTATTTTTTGTAGAGATCATGCTACAAAATCATGGTATGTTGCCCAGGCTGGTCTCGAACTCCTGGACTAAAGTGACCCTCCTGCCTCAGCCTCTTAAAGCGCGAGGATTGCAGGTGTGAGCCACCATGCTCAGATGTTCTGATTATTTTAACCTATAATTGTGATACCTTATATCACACTAATTAATTCTTCGTAATGGGCATGCAGGCTTAGCAGATAAGATTGCCTATATTACTGAGAAATTATGATTATAATCCACACAATTGTTTTTTATCAGTTTCCTATTTTAATTACTCTTGCTCTGCAAATTTTTTTTCCCAAGAAAAGATCCTTATCCATAATTTTACCCTGATCACTACCCTTGCCTTAGTATTTCTAATAAATATACATTATTGGAGTACATTTTGAGAAATGCCAGTCCCAAGACACAAGTTAGACATCTTATTATGCTAAATTAAATTTCAGGTTACTATGTAACCTGATTCTTGAATTCTGTCAAGGCTCAGTAACATCCATTCTAATTTTGCCTCTAGGATATGTTAGTCTAGGCATTTCTGGACTTGGTTAGATCTCTCTTTAATGGATGTTCCACACTGCTTCCAGAGTTATCTTACTACAACAAGAATCTGATCCAGGCACTTTTCTGCTGAAGCATTTCTAATGGAAAGCCCTAAACTTTCGAATAAGTTTAAAATCTGCTTTCTGTAGCCTGTAAGAATTCTCCAGGCTGTGAACTCTTACACATCACATATTTCCTTTTGTGTGAAGGTCTTGGTTCGTACTAAAATGCACTTCTTATATATAATCCTTCAATGAATTATTTTATTACCTATATGTTTTTTCTTCCTAAATTCTGACACAATTAGTTAATTAATTTGTTGTTTACTTAGTTCTCACTTTGTTAGTATTTTGTTTGTGTTCCAAGGATTTGCCTCTCTTGTATCCTCAAGGAGGTCATACACTTTCACATATTAAGTACCTCACTAGTATTGATTGATTGTTTTTCACATTGTAGCTGCATGACAAACCCATGATATACTCAGACATTTATAAAGGAAGTGAATTTTTGACAAAATTGGCCTCTGTGTTAAATGCCAAACAGATTTAATCATACACTGGGCAGGAGGGGAAAGATTTTTGCTCATATGAAGAAATATGAAAAGTTTAGTCTTGTAAACAACATATTTTAAAATCATCTGAACCAAGATCAGAACAACAATGAAGACAGAAATAGGTACAGAATCAGAACATGGTTCTACGCTGTATTGAAAACTTGTGAAGATACCATTTTTTCTATGCTCTTCAATGCACTGCCATTTACAGAGCATTTATCTCTACACTTGCATCTATCTATCTGTCTACCTGTGTATCTGGCTATCTAATCTTGTAATTCTTTAGCAGGGTTACATTGTTTGTCTCTCTAACCAGATGGTGAACTTTCTGAGTGGCATGTATTTTATATTTGTAAGTGTATATGTAAATACAGTTAGGTAAAGACTACTGCACAAAGTGAATATTCCCTATAGTTGCTGTTTCTGGATATGCTAAGCAAAATGTCACTCGTCCGTCTTTTAGCAAACCCTCCTCATTTAAAGGAGTAATCCACCTTATCTGGCGCTATTTTCTCTGTTCAGAGATAAAAATTTGACTTCCTATTACCATCTAACTGTTTTTAGTATAATATCACTTGACACGTTTTAAAAAGACACTCCCTAGCGTAAAATAAGGCAAACGGAAAAGACAGGCTAATCAAATTGAATTAAATTCAATGCAATACAAAATTGTTAAAATGCCTCTCAATTTCACAGTATTCTATGGTGCATTGGTGAAGATGCAAATGAAGAAACCAAGAACCTTAACCTGTAGCTGTTTACGATGTCTTTGGGGTTATCAAACATGTTATGGAGAATATTTTCCTAAAAATTGACACGTTTGTACGAATCTTTATCTTTTCTCTGTCACTACCTAACATATTAATTTTATATCCAAGTTTCTGGGTAAAAGTCACTTGAAAGGTCTAGTTTATGGAATTTGTCCATACTTGATTATAGAATAGTGGTTCTGAAGCTATAGCCATTAAGCACAGGGCATCATCAAGTACAGGGTTTGCTGAATCTCAGATTATCAGGCCTTGATCCAAGATTTTCTGGTGGAGCAGGCCCACGGGGAAGCCTGAAAATGTGCGTGTTTACCATTGTGTTAAATGTGTGAGTGATGTTGACCTCCTGTTTCAGAATCACGTTAGTATGAAGAATATAAAATGAAGAGTAGCGGTAAACTACACAGAAGTCCTGCCTCTGTCTCTGAGCTTTATTTTTCTCCTTTGCTAAATAAGGATAATAATGGTTGCTTCAAAGTGCTTTTGCAAGAATTCCGTATAAAACAATATGAATGAAGTGTTTTCAGAGTATAAGGAATCATTGAATACATTTTAGCTGTTATTATCATTATCATTGTAATTCTTATTTTCAGGAAATCATGATGAGTTGTACCAATTCCTAAATTAGTCCTAGAAATATAAACAAATAAAACAAAAATATTCCTCCCAGGCTTTCACAATTGAGAAAGAGATATAAAAACATAAGATGTAACAGACACAGATACATGAACTGGCTACAGTTTTCTGCAGAAGTAGCAGATATCAGCCCTACTTTGTGGGAGAGGTTAAGGCTCAACAGTTCGTTTTTGGAAGCAGGCACTCAGTAAATATCTGCTTATTGAGTAAATGTGTCTTAAACAATGTATAAACCAAACAGTGACTGAGGCAAGTCTCAGTCAATTTGGAGGTTTATTTTGCCAAGGTTGAGGACGCGCCCGAGAAAATAACACAAATCACAGAAGCATCTGTGGTCTATGCCTTTTCCAAAAAGGGGTTTAAAGACTTCAATATTTAAAGGGGAAAGAGCAAGCAGGAGGGGAATAAGAGGGGGGAAAAGGGGTTTGGGGGAAGGGTAGACAGGGAGGCAAGTGGTTACATTCTTGTGAGAGTTTGATTATCTCTCAGTTCATCTACATTTTACATGAGAAAGAGAGTACAGGAAAAGTAAATTATGCACTTGTCTCTCAGTCAATCTACATTTTACATAAGATAACTATGTGAATAGATGAAGTGGAGGAAGGAGTCAATTATGCACTGGTCTGGGGTAGGCAGAGGTCAGTCAATCTACATTTTACATAAGATAACTATGTGAATAGATGAAGCGGAGGAAGGAGTCAGTTATGCACTGGTCTGGGGCAGGCAGAGGGATTGTTTCTGATCTTTCTCTGTCTCATACCTGTGAAGTAAAGCTGGTAATTTGCATTGTCATGGTTAGACTTTACAGAACTCTATTTTAGGGCTAGTTTATAGGGACAGCATGTGTTCTGGTAGATTATCGGACCCAGAAGGAATTTCCTTGTCAGCAATTTTGGAGAGAGACCATTTGGGGAGATACATGGCCTTCTGTTATTATGTGGCTATGACATAGGTTTGTGAAATTGTAGCTATCATTCCGTGAAAAAAAAAAAGAAAAAGCTTTTCTTTTTTTTTTTTTTTTTCATTTCTGAGATCCCAAGCTTAACTTTCCCTTTGTCACAGTGATTTTGGGATCCTGAGATTCCTATTTTCTTTCACAAAGGAGTGGAATTCATCATATATGTTTGGGACAAAAGTAGGTGGTGGGACACTTTGAAGAAATGAATTTCATATATCTACGCAGAGTAACAGCATGTGATTGAAATAACTCTGAAACTTTATGTGTGGTATAGGCATGAGAAGTAAACAAAGAGGCAGGGTTCAGTTATGTCATGAAAGAGCTTTTATTCCAGATTAAGGTTTTGAAATTTATTCAATAGGCAATAGTGAAGCTTTTTTTTATATGCTTTAAAAAGTAAAATGAAACAATCATAATTTCATCCAACTCTGCTTTTTATCCCCTCTATGTGAGTTTTACTCAGAAATCCCTTTGGTGCCTCTGGGCAGAGCTGCATCCAAAACCACAGGTAGTTTCACTGCAGCCTTTAATCTTCTGCATAGCAAGAAAGTGAATATCTGCCATTTAG